CGTGTTATTCTTTAGCTAACTCCAACTCTTATTACTGTATTGGCTGTACAGGGACCAGGTGCTGTGTACTGCTACTCGTCAGTGATGGGAACAAATGACAATGACAGAGAAGTAGTTCTGACTTGACACCAAATAAGGGAAGACTACTGAACCAGGTTTTTAAAGTGCAAATCAGCAATTCTTCCTTGAGGAGAGAGAAATTACAACTGATTTCACTTGTGCTTTCTAAGGGCTGCTTTTCCTCACTTTGCCCAATGATGTGATATAACACTTTACTGAGGTTTTGGGGGAATAGTTGCTGTTTATTTTGCACCATTGCTGTGGACTGTGGTGTAAACGTGCAAGACATTGTATTTCTACCTAAAACTGAGTGATTTGGAGTTTAAAGGACTCATACTTTATGTTTAACCTTCTTTTCTCATTCATTTTAGTTAACTGATTGTAAAGGAATTGTATATATTGAGAAATACCAAAGCTACTTCATGTATTTGCTTCAGTAAAGTAGTTTCGGAATGGAATTGTTCACACAGAATACAAACAATGATAAGAGAATGTCTGTGCTAATTTTCTAAGTCTTCATCCATGGAAATACATAAAATGTAAATCGGATTAAATACAATTTTTGGAAGGGTTTTCAATTCTGTGGGAATGTCATGTTCTTTAGGATCTCATATAAGTAACTTGAACAGAATTAAATATCTCTGAAACTGGCGAGAAGTAGAAAAAAAATCTCAATCTTCACTAATCTAATAATTAGCCTAATGTACATACAATCCAGTGCAGGAGAATGTTTTGTTCTGCATGTGGCTGGAAGTCTAGCTAGCAGAGTGCTTTTTTAGACTGTAGTGTTAAATGATTCTTCAGATTTCTGTTTATTCAGTTTTAGGTAGATTTAATGAAAATCTTTTGGCACATGCTGTTGCCAAACTGTTCTGCTTGTCTACTCCTTCATACCTCCACTTCATTTCCTCTGCAAATTGTCTCTTTCTTGTTGGCAGCAGAGTGATTGTAATAAAACTGATGTTCTATCTCAATAAGCCATGACATGTGACTGTTCTAATTAATTTTTAGCAACATTTTTCTATTGAAAACTTTTAGGTTGGTGACATCTTTTTATTAAGAGTTTAAGAATCCTATATAATCTGTTATGTTTCATGTTCAGTAATAAAATATGAGGGAAGAGACAAGTAACAGTGAAGATAGTTCAATGATTCAGCAGTTTTATTCAATAGTTACTGTATACAAAATAGTACAGTTGTTAGAATAGAATTTACAATACATTTGCATGTCTTCCCTGTGACTTAGGGGTTTTTACAGTGTGTCTTAAAGCAGCCTTGGTTTCCAGTAAGCAGTAAAAATGAATTGGAAAGAACTCCAATGGCTAATTTGCTTGCATTGACATTTACTCTTGTTTATATGCAGGTCAGCTCCCTGAAGTTTCGTGACTTACCACTATAGGCTGTTGATGTTGAATATGTGACCTGAGGAACAGATTCATTAGGGTTCACCTGCATAGATAATGTCCCCGGCTTTTAATTTGGAGACATGCAGGCCGAATACTTTTGGGCTGAGATAACAGACTCCTTTGTCTGTGTAATTGAGTCAAGATGTGACTTGAATGATACTCTTAATTTCTGTACTCTCATTGTTAAATTGAGCAAAAAGCAGTACTTGAAAGTAGCTGAACTACTCTGCAGCTGCTCTAATTGAAGGTAGACTAGCCCTGTAATTTGAGCTACTTCTGTTTGCAGTCTGTTTTGTGATTTGATTACCTGAATAGTTTGCTTGATACTCATGCCTGGAGGTGTTAGGCCATCTCTTGGTTTGTCATCCAGTGATTGTCTCCTTCTCAGCTTCAGTGTTTGTGCTGTTGTCCAGGTCACTCTCTGTGCCTTTGTTAGTTGTTTCATTGGTATTTCAGTCTCTGAAAGTATTTTATCTCCAGGTGGAATCGTAACTAACATCAGGCATAAAAACTCGAGGTCATATTGGTTGTCTCATAACTGAGTGCTCTTTTGTATACGGCAGCAAAGGGAGCTCTAAAAATCTACAGATGTTTGATGTATGAAGGTTCCTCCCCTAGATGGGATATAATATCCAGTAACAGTAGTACTGGGTTAATTCTTACCACTGAGAAATACAAGTTGTTGCAGAAGAGAGAGGAAGAGTTGGAAGGCATAAGTCAGAGAAATTAGCTTTTCCTCTGCTAATAAGGGTTTGATTCATTTCCCTCACGTAAGAGGGAAATGATAATACAGTTTAGAATGGTGCCAGCAGAAGATATTGTGTATTAGACACAGGATGAGTGACTGTGTGAGGATTTACTCCTTCCTTCATAACATTTTATGACCTTCTAGTAATGTAGTTCAGAGGGCAGACACTAGTTGCTGAAGGTGAAGGAGAGGGTTGTGGGGATATTTCAATGGAATACATGTTTTTTCTTCAGCAGCCTTTTTCAGAGGTTGTTTATGTTTGGGATTGACAAATTAAGTAGCTGCAAATTGTAGGGAATTTGGATTATAGATGATAGTATTCTGAGATAAAATTGTGATTAAGACCTGGCTGACTCACAGATTCAGTGGGATGTGATTTTCTTTAAACTCTGTTGCATGGTAATGCTGATACAAACCCAGCAATTCCAGGCTCCCAGTGTGTGTTGTGGGGACATTATATTAAGTGACTGAATTTGCTGCTTGTCTCTCATTATGTTTTGTGATAAACAGGCTGCCAAATGGATATATTTGATTCATTTATGGATGTTGTGATAGCAAGTAGCAGGAAGACCAAGCAAAGGTCACATCATCTCTTCTGAATTCACAAAGTCTCCTGCAGAATGTGGCAAGTAGCAGACAGAAGTCTCGATAAAATACTGCCCTTGATCAAATCTGACTTCATTAGTGATCTGTCTTCATATATTACTGTCCTGGCAATGTGTTTTCTGTGTGTGTGTGCATGTCCCTACTTAAAGCAGAGACTATTGAAAGAATAATGTATAGTACTGTCAGTCACTGTTGGACTCATTTGCGCTCTGAGCAGCTGCCTTCTTTGTGATTACTTTGCTTCAAATAGGTCTGTGGATGCTTACATTTTCTTAGTGTGTTTAATCTACATTGTAGAGCCTTTGGTTCAACTTTTCCGGCTTCCAGAATTGGTTATTTAGCTTGTTGGAGAGTTGTATTTTTGGTATGTTAGGCCACCTTCTAAGGTGTTTATTTCATTCTGTATTTTAAAAGCACTTTGTGAAAGATGAGTTGATGCTAGGCACTAGACAATTTTTGATGTGCTTGCCAAACCTGTCAGATCTTTTGGAACTTATTACAGAAAGTGTCAAGCAAAAAAGTGACATGTTTTTGTGCAAGGTCAAATATTTCTGTATTGCTTACAGTTTTAGTGGGGGTTGTGTTACAGAAAAAAATAGGCAATAAGATTCCTGGCATGGCTGGTGTAATTTTGGGAAACATTTAAAACTGTGTGATGATGCAGCTGTTTGCTCAGCAGCAGTTTTGATAACTGCTAATATGAGTAGAGAGAATTACAAGTATTAGTATGTAAAAGCTTTTTTCACAAGCTAAACATCATTGATTTTCTTGATTGGACTCAATAATCCTTGTGGGTCCCTTCCAAATCAGCATATTCTGTAAAGTACTGATTTCTGATAGCTGCCTTGTTTGTTGGTGAGATTTTTACTGCTAGCTGGAACAGAACAATACTGCACAAAGACTTGGAGCAGAGAAGCAGTTGTTAATACAGGCTCCAAAGTAGGTCTCTAATTTTACTCTATCAACGATGCAAAGTCTTGCTCCTGGATAAGGTGGAAAGGTGGGATGAGAGAGGATAAACCAGACAGCTTCCTTCGTTTTTGCATCCAGATGATTGCGAATGACTCTTGTGGGCCTGGCTTCAGTGAGAACCAATTTAACTACAGAGTCTTGTGTATGTGTCCCTCACATGGGGAATGGAGTTGCTGTGTGTGTGACTAATCCTCTCCTGCATATTTCCTGTCTCTTGTTTTAGAGTTGCATAGAAGTGTATCTTTCTAAAGGTTAACATCCTTTCATTACATGCAGATCATTAGAAGTGACATATAAGTACTCTGTTCTTGTTTTATTTTACATCTTGGTTGTTTTTCTTATGAAGGAAAACATATTTTCCTGCCTGGAAGGTCTGTTTTTAATCTGTGACCTGAATCAAGCTGGATAATAAGATTCACAGAATTAAAATTACAGCAGCCCATTTATTCCCCCAGTTATGTCAATGCTAGCCTTTTCTCTTGATCCATAGCACAAAAAATTGAGTCTGCTTAATTGTTAAATAGTTGTGAATTTAGAGCAAGTAAAAGGAGGTGGTAAGGACTGCTAAATGACACAAAGTAGTCTTGAGTAGCCAGCCAGCGTGATGGGCTGTGAGCAGTAAGTGCTGTTTATGGTATCAAACTCAACTGTGTACCTTTTGTTTATGTGTTTGCCCCTAAACTGCAATTGCTAGTCCTCAGCGTGACCATGTTGTACTGAAGCATAGATTATAGGATGAATGTACTTTTCCACAATTCTGTATGAACTCAAAGCCTGGTGGATAGAAATGGATGCATTATTTTTAGGCCTATTCTTCCTCCCTCCTTCCTAAAAAGCAACCCCTAAGCAGCTCTTAATATTTATTCTGATTGTAGTCTCTTTTTCCTTAAAATCTGTTGCTGACTACAGAGAATTTCAGACAGTTGAAAATAATTGGCATTGCAAGCAGGTGGTGATGACCTGATGAGCTGGTCAGTAACAATTGTAGTTTCTGTAGGTACTGAGGAAGAAGTGACATTTTGGTTTATAAAGAGAACTCCCTGGGACACGAGAATACAGGAAAGGAGATTTATCTTAATATTTTATTTTTGTGCGAATTCTTTGGATGCTAAAATCATGAAGGGCATGATCATCAAAAACAAGCTGTCCATCTATGAGCTGTGGATAATATTTCCTCTGTTTCTTATGTCCATTATAGGTATGGAACACCTCTGAAAGTATCCAGTAAATTGTAGTTCATCTTGACTGATATGCAATTACAATAATGCAGAGAAATTACTGTTCTAAAAATTCAGTTTTCATACACAGATGCTCAAAGTGAGTAAAGCTTTTAATGAATACAATGGCTTCTGTGCTTTCTTATGTTAGAAAATGGGGAAAAAATTGATGAACCTCAATGCATAAAGGATGTTAGAGTTACTGAAATGTAAGCATGTTCTCCTAATCATCTGTCTTTAAATGACAACTTTAGAGATAATTTTTAATAATCAAGTCCTTGACTCTCAAATGTGTATGTGCCATGCTTTATCTTTTTTTTGGCATAAATAATTCCATTAATCTTATGACTTAAGGTAAAAGGAAAAAAGAAGAATTAAGTAATTACATAAATATGGTGTCCAGGATGGCCTAGTAAGATACAGTTTCCTAAAAATGAAATATTTCTATGTGACAGCTCGTTCATTTACTGCAGCCATAAACTTTGCTTTTCTTTGACACAGTAATTTACTTTCTATCCCATAATTCTTATCTGTTTTTATACTACTTAAAAAAAAGAGAGAATTATGGAATAGTTTGACTCCTTATTCTTGAAAATCCTCCTTTAGAGGATTATGGAATCACTGAGGAACATGTGCTGACAGTGACTGAGGGGAAATTGGAATGGAATATAAGGAAAACATATGTTTGGAAAGTCAGAAATGTTGAGAACAAAGTGATTGAAGGAGAAGGTAGTGAATTCTTCTGCTGTGAGCTGCTTCTGTTCTTGAGTTAATTTGATGCTGAAGTATGTAGTAGAGCATAGTTTTTGTCACATTGTCTGGAATGATGAATTCAGCAGTCTGAGAAGGGAAAATACATGAATTGTTACTTTTCTAATATGATAGGGAAGGAGATGCTGCCTATTAATGTTTTAAATCAGCACGAAGATTGCCCTGTTTCAACTAAATGTATTTTATTTAAAAAATTTGCATTTTCTTAGTTAAAATAAAAAGTAGATCATAAAGTGCATATTGTGAGACTGGCTTATGAGAATAGGTATCTTTGAAAGAGCTAAAGTGGTGTTTTAGAGAGAAAAGCTCCTCTGTCCATCAATAAGAAAGTAACTGGGGAAAAAAAAAATCTCCAAAAAGATGAAACAAGGCTAGCCTGCTATAGAAACAAGCCAGCATCCCTCTCTATCCAGAAGTACTTGCTGTGTTAGGTCGTCATGTAATGAAAACCATTTTATTGTTTTGAGATTATGGGAAATTGGAAGATTTTTGTCTTTATTCAAAAGCATTTGTCTATGCTCCTGTGCAGTATTCAGGCATCCATACCAATTTTAAACATAAAGTCTGGAATTAAACACAGTCCAACTATGAAGCATGGACTCCAGAGTAGGCTGGTTTATGAACCCAAGGATGTAATTCATACAATGCTGCTTTCCATAAGAGGTGAGGTTTTGTTGTTGTTTTTTTTTTCTTTTTTTTTTTAGAACGTTGAATCAAAAATGGAAGATTTGACTGGGACTACAGTTGTCCAGCTGCAAATGTCTATATAAAAATGTCTCATTATAAATTCAAACTAGAAGTTGTAAAAAATCTGGTTCAGAAAACTGACTTAACTGGGACAGAAGTATGGGAGGAGAATTCCAATCCTTAGGAATACATTACACAATGGAAAGATCTAGCAATCCTACCTGGAAAACTTCTTGGGATTACAGAGTAGTGCAAACTTGGGTACAGGTGGTTGGTTTTTGGGATATGTCCAGAATAAAGGGAGAAAAGGAGGAATTTATTTTAAGAAGTGTTTTTTCTGCTGGGACACACTTCTGGGTGCATTGCAGATTTGCATCCTCGTGACAGCTTCAATGAGCAGTGCACCATGTTATGGGTGTACAACTGAATGACGAAATACCTAGAAATGTTGTGGTTTAATTATTTATTATTTACTTATTAAAGTATGCCTTTCCACTGGAGAATATGGAAATGCTTAATTTGACTGGAAATGGGAAAATGAAAATTCTTAAATCCAGTGAGGTGAGTAAATTACATAGGAAATGTTCATGTGCTTCTGATATCTTTGTGTATTTTGTGATGTCAAAATGTCTGATTTTTTCATGGAACATCTGCATAGCTGCTGTTCTTTGTTGACAGGCTCTAATGGTAGATCACTTTCATCTCTGCTATACTACCAGCATTTTTCTTAAAGTCTTCTTGAAGAGGGAACTAATAATAAATTATTAGACTGCTATATAATTATATGAAAATGTTATATTTATTACTATAATAAATGCTCTTATCAGTGAATGCAAATCCAGTTGAAATAGCTTATTGGTGCTGTGTTTGACCCTTCCTTTTTATGAATTCAGAAGGCAACATAGATGCACTTCCTAATATGTCGTGTTAGTTCTGCTTGACATTTTTTTTTTTAAATTTGAAATGGCTGTGAATGAATGAGGGAATGGATAAAGGGGATAGTGAAACACAATGAGCATTTAATTAAAACAGTTGCAGAATTTATAAGACAGGATTTATTCAGAGAAGGCACTGATTTTGAAATATGGGAAGTAAAAGAGAAATGAAGTATCATCAGGCCACATTGACAAACTCACAAGTGACTTAAAACGTAACAGTTCTGGTAATGTCAGACTTGTAGTTTGCTGAGTGTGGTGAGTGTTTTCTCTTGTAATTGATATCAGCTGGTAATGCATCTACATTTGTTAGGAATGGCAGAGTGGGAGTACCCTGGTGAATCCTAGGAGCTTGAGGGAAGCTGGGCCAGAGGAGTGGGAAGCCTCTAGTCTCTGAACAGATTTGAATTTAAAGTGAGAAATTCATTGCCTTTTCCTTTGTGAAATAGCCTGCTTTTTCTTTCCTATAATTTTACTTGTCTACTTTGACTTGTGTTTATGCAGTTAAAACTGCTAAAAATGTGTTAAAGTGGTAATTTTCTAGCTTACCTTTAGATGGAGTCTTTTAATGACTATTAATTAAAAAAAAAAGATGTTATTCCAATTTTGGAATAACAGAAAAATTTAGCTGTCTTTTGAAAGTGTCTGTCAGTAACAGTTATTTCATAATATCTGTTTAACACTCATTCTTTGTGTGTTTAGTACATAACTCTGCTACTTCCTGCCTGACTGTTCTCTAAGGAGTATGTTAGTTTTCATTACTGTTCATCTGTAATTTAATTACAGAAATACGACATCATAGGCAAAGGTGTGAGCAAGGCCAGTAGAGAAATGCAGGTGGCAAGATGAATCAGTTGTAGAGAGGCTAGTGCTGTTATTTCCCTGATAGGCAGAACAAATGACTTTTAGAACTGAAGTTAAAAGACATCCCTGTCTTTTTGATACAGTTACACAGCACTTCTAAGAGGTGACATGTACTATGCTTTTCTTTTCTGCTTTATATGTATAATGCTTTTCTATCCTCATTTAATGAAAGAATCTGGTCTCCGTTTCTTCTGTGGTTTTGTGGTGGTATGAACTGGGTCATCATTTGGTCTGTGATGCTAGAAGATGTTTTTGAAAGCAGCTTCTGTTTTTTCTATACCTTTATGTTCTCCCTCCCCATCTCCTTTGTACAAAGCCCTACGCTGCTTGCTTTGACATTTAATTCCTTATTTCTTCTCCTGGCCTTTTCTATCCTGTTAACAGTTTTTCAAAGTGCATTATCCCTCTGCTTCTCTTGTGAGGCTCTAGTTGCCTGTGCAGTTTGTTCCTGTCTGTCTTTTTCTGTGATACCGCTGTGTGAAAGGTAAAGAGGGGAATTGCACATCAAACCATAACCCTTGAAAAGGAAATACTTGATTCTGTGTGATGTGAACAGTGTCATGGCCAAGATGCCTGTGAAAAGTTCCTGGTTCTTCTGGGATAAGAAAGAAGGCAGGATACTTGCTGAGGGTGATGTGAAGGCCTGTGTGAACTGGTTACTTTTTTTCTTTCTTAAGATTACTGCTTGATTTCTGTTGAAAATATTGAATGCTTTTACAGGCATCTGAGACATCATCACAAATACTGAAAACCTGAGGTACAAAGCCAGTGATAATGTTCCGGTTTTTTTGAGACTGTACACAAAATAGGTTGTGGTTGGCTAGAAGGTCCAGGTAACACTGCTGCTCCAGCTGTGATAACGAGGATGTGGAAGGATGCTATCTCTGCCTTTAGGAATTTGCAGAAGTCGCTACTCTCAGTTGTCATTATGCTGGTAAAGGTATATTCTGTACTCAAATGGCTGGTTTCCTTCCCTGGGGTAGCTTTATGGCAGTGCAAAGCCCATCTTTGTGGAGCTTACAGTCACTCTGGGAGTGCTTTGCTGGTCTCACATGCAAAGATTTCTGAGCTGAAGTGCTCGTGGTGTTTATGTAACTTAATAGGTTCTGTTCTAATAGACTCAGAGGAACATTTTTCCCTAAATCCTTTGATCTTGATAGGAGAAGGAAAGACTATTTTTCTTGCCTCTCTTTTTCTTTCTTTTTTTTTTCTTTAACTGTTTTTCCTCCTTCTGTTGATTGTAAAGCTGTAGTTCAGTAACTACAATGGTGATTTTCAAGGTAGTAATCAATAAAAAATGGCCAAATAATGAAGGCTGAAATAAATTATTTGTACCTGAACAATAGAAGGACAATGAAATTATAATGAGGATGGCACAGGCTCAGAATGGACATTTCTGTATATAAAGTCTAGACTTGTTTACTGAACCCAGAGAAACACTAGCTTAGGGTCAAGCTACTATATAATTTTCTCAGGGGCATGGCATTGTTTCTGTCTAGTGCTCTTCTTTTTCTCCTGAGAATGTAACAGATATTTTTGAAATGGACAAGAAAAACTGAAAATGAGCAAAATTAAAATTTACTGTGAAATGTGCAAGTTTGACTTTTTTTTTTGTTGTACATTTTCCAAATCTGCTGTTTTCCCCTGCAGTTAAGTGAATCTATTTTTCCCTACTAAGCAAACTGAAGATAAAAAATGCTTTATAGGTGGGTGAGTAGTAATGTAGAATCATTTAAAAGTCAAACAAAATAGGAAGGTTATGGAGTGGTGCAATATAAGTCAATAAGGTAATCTGAAATTTTGGCAATTTAGGGCATCCTTATTTTTAACAGTGCTATTGGAAATATGGTGGTGGTTGGCACTGAACCTGCCATTCCCCTAGTCCTTTTTTTGTGGTGAGGATATCCTGTGAAATGGAGGGATGTGCTTCGTGATTACAAGAGTGAGGCTTTCCATTTGTTTCATGAGGGAAGGGATGCAGAGAGATGGGAGATGGAGTCAGGGCAGAAATGAGTGATGTAGTGATGTGCTAGCTTAAAATCCTTTGGGACAGGGTTGTTAATCTGTAATAATTTGAAGAGAGTTTGATCTTTGTTCTGATATGAAGGTGGTGGCAGTAGAGAGTTATGCATAACTATGGCAAAGGAAGGTTGCCCAAGCAAAATGTCTGAAGCTCTGTCAATCTTAGGTAAGGTTTCCTTGCATCATGTCCAGGCTTATTTACCTTGACTAAAGAGATGGGCAGATCATCACCCATAACTTCAGTTGGCTGTGAAGACAATCCTGGAAATATTCTGTGATGGGAAAGGTTAGAGGTGTTCTGCATATTGGGGGTATTGTGAAAGGGCTAAGACAAAATGCCACTTTCAAAAGAAAGCAGTAACCTGAGTAAATTTGGGATGTACAAAGCTACAGAAGTCTGAATAATCAGTTTCTGAAATACTGTACGCAAATTCATATGATCTGTGCTAATCTCATCTGGAGGAACAGTAGAAATAGTATGTGTTAAAAATGCCCATGTTAGTGGTATTAGCCAGGTTGTTGGGGTGTTTTTTTAGAAGAAGCTGAGGGGATAATCTGCATTCCTGTAATCTTCACTCTAGTCTGTTGAGGGTCGGTAGCTCCTTCATTTGAGCCAGGTGGTTATTCTCCCTCCCCTTTTGGCAAAGAGTTAAAGTGTTAAATAATTGTTCTGTGTAATAGCATAGATGATTTCCACAGGGAAATGGAATTTAAGATCTGTGTTGTTGTGAAAAATAGGTTTAGTTGTGGGGAAAAAAAAAGGTACATTTCCAACTCTTGAGACTGACACACTTAAGTTTGAAATATCTTTGCTTTCATTTACTGCACTTGAGCAATTCAGTTAGTTTATTTTTTGTTTGTATGATCTTGCAGTCCTGGAAATTGGTTTATTTTGAAATGGTTTGGGTTATGAATAAAAGAATAGATCACATGCCCCTGAAAAATCAAGCCTAATGATCAAAATAACAGCACCTTATAAAATGGAGTTATTACAAAAATTAGTTTAACTTCATTTGTTTATTAATGATCTTGATTTAAGATCAATCTGTGTTCTTTTTTGAGTAAATACATGAAAAACTTCAGCAGAAATACTATATGACTGTAATTTATTTCAACAGGTACTTTGTGCTGGACTTTGAGACGGGGATTCTGCAGTATTTCGTGAATGAACAAAGTAAAAACCAGAAGCCAAGAGGAGCCTTGTCTTTAGCTGGAGCTATAATATCACCCAGTGATGAAGTGCCACACATGCTGGTGGTCTACTCTGCTAATGGAGAGATGTATAAGTTAAAAGGTACAGTGCTGCTTAGAGGTGCCAGCTGAGTTGTTCCTCTCTCCCTTTCCTGCTTCTGCATCTCTTTTCTCATATCTCCTTTCTCTTTTACTTCCCTGTGCTGTCAGACAGTAGTGGTTATGCACTATATCATGTGGAAGAGTAATCTGGAGTTAAGTGCCTATGATTTTACAGTGTGTAGGCTTTCAGGGCTGGAAGATACCTCATGGAATCTGTAATCTGTTGCTGTGGCATTCTGAATGGTATGTCTTACTCGCTTGCAAAGGAAGAAAAAGCTGCTTTCATTGCTGTCCACGGCATAACATTTAATTTCTAGTATTGTTCTCCTCTGCTACCATCCTGCAGATAATGTGCAATAATAAATCTGATGATAGGTCAGAGAAGGGAAAAATGCTAGTGG